CTATCTGACATTGAAGACAACTGTGTTGATCTGTTTCTGTCTCTCTGTGTATATTGTGTACCTTTTTGTCTGTCTGTCCACACACACACACACAAACACACACACACACAGAGCCAAGATTTTCTGGTTTCTTTTCTTGTCATATGGAGAAGCACTAACTGAGAATTGAGCAGCTGTCTCCACCAGGAGCAGCTCTTTTGTAAATCTCATGGGTTTTAATTGCCCAATCTTAACAAAAACAAAAACAAAAACCCACCATGGAAAACATGTTGCATTAGAACATTGATAGCTCATAGCAATATATTGTTACAGGGACAATTCAGCTGCCTCTCTCTAGCTAGCATGAGGTTTGCTGCTAAACTCAGAGGAAACAAGACAGTCTGAGGCAGTGTGTGTGTGTGGCATCTGGTGTCTTCATCACGCCAATTAAAAAGCTGCAGTGCTTTGGTCCTGGAAGCACGGATTCCACTCCACATTGTCTGAATTACATCATCAGATCAGAAGAAAGTTACATCACTCTCAAGTTTGTTCTTTTCTCATCTCTTTACATCTTAGCAACTGTATTGGACTGGAAGAGAACAAACTAATTTAAGCTTAATCCAGATAAGACATAGTCTTGGTCAGGTAAAAGACATTTCTGGGAACAGGGATTCAGCCTGTGTTACATGCCACCTGAAAATGCAGATTTGCAGTTTGGGGGCATTCCTGGATTCAGCCCAGAGCCTGAAGCCCAGGTTTCAATGGTGAACAGGACTGCTTTTGCACAATGCGATATCTCACAATACAGAAAACATTCAGGGGTAGCTGTGTTGGCCATTTAGCAAATTCAAACAAAAATCCATCAGTGATACCTTTATTGGCCAACCAAAATGCACAATATACTTGTTGCAAGCTTTCGAAGCTCCATGGGCTTCTTTATTAGGCAAGATGTTACAAACCAAACAGGAGAAATACAATTGGAGATGTTAGTCAGAAGCCCATATGTTGTTTCAGTCTTTAGTTAAGATGGTATATGGTGGGGAGGATATATTTTGCAGGCAGGATCCTCTTCCTTCTGGCCCTGTGGCTATAGGGAGATTTGCAATGTCCAGGAAATTTAAAATCCATTTGCATCTCAACAGGGACCCCTGTTTTGCAATCCAATATGTTCTCTGCCACAAAGAGGCCTGTGGACGGATTTTTCTTTGCTTTTGCACAATTAAAGCTAATGTGCCAATTGCATTAATTCCTGGCTCTGACCACAGTAACACATATCTTGGTTACATCCCATTTGACTTACTGTAATATGTTCTATATGGACTGCCTTTGAAAAACACTTAGAAATTTCAGTTGATCCAAAGAGCTGCAGCCAGATTGGGCTAACTGGGGCTGGCCACAGGGAACACACTCTTTCGTTGCAGAAGCTCCACTGACTGCCAGTCCATTTCCAGGCACAATCCAAAGTCCTGGTGATGACCAGCCCTATATGGCTTGGGTACAGGTGCTTTGAAAGGTTGTGTCTTCCTTTATGAGCCTATCAGAGCTCTAAGATCATCTGGAGAAGCCCTTCTCTCTGCCCCACCATCTTCTCAGGCTTATTTGGTGGGAACACGTAAGAGGGACTTCTCAGTGGCTGCCCCTAGTCTTTGAAAAGCCCTCCCTTGGGAGGTTAGTTAGGAGCCCTGGTGGCGCAGTGGTTAAATGCCTGTACTGCAGCCACTCACTCATAGACCACAAGGTTGCGAGTTCAATACTAGCCTAGGGCTCAAGCTAGACTCAGACCTGCATCCTCCCAAGGTCGCAAAAATGAGTACCCAACTGTTGGGGGGCAATGAGCTTACAGTTGTAAACCGCTTAGACATCCCATAGTGCGATATGAAGCGGTGTATAAATGAAGCTGCTTTGCTTCCTCCTTGCCCTCCTTCCATTGGCAACTGAAAACACTTTTGTGCTGCCAGACTTTTAGAAACTGAATGGGATGGGCTTTTAATAATGTGCTGTCAAGCTTTATGGTTTGTATAATCCTTTAATGAATTTTAATATTTTAACTTTATAAAGGAATTGCTTTTAATTAACTTTTATATTTACACTGTTACAAAGTTTTGGTATAGCTTTTAAATCTGTATTGTTTTTTAAAAAATGTTTTCACTGCCTTGAATCATTAATGGAAGAATGAAATAATAGAAACAACCCTCCTCCTCTTCCTCTTTCTCCATCTCCTCCTCCCTTTTGCAACTAGCGTTTCGCAGCTGGATGAGAAAAACCAGGTACAGATCTGTTTCCTTTACTGTGATGAACACTGCTTTTCCTTACACCTGTAAATCACTGCTAAACTAGGGCAAGTGTGTGTATAGCTTTTGCAACAAAGCCCTCTTGCTGGATGCAAAGGGCATTTTTTAAATCAACAACAATCAAGAGTCTTATCGAAACTGTAGATTTCAGCACTTGGATAGCATAGCCATCCTACTGGTTACTTTTTAGGCCAGTGAACACAACTAGACTCAACAAATGGGTGCTTAGACAATTTGGGGAGATGATGGATGGGGGAAAAACTCATTTCCTGCCCTAAAATCTATGGCCATTATTTGGGTGCAGTAGGAGCAGCTCCTCACAACTACAGCTTTTATTTATTATTTATGTCAAAGACTTTAATTGCCACCCTTTGGCCAAAAGTGGGTTCTTCATCAGATTATAATGATGAATACTAAGACAGTCCTTTTGTTCAGGTGTGCCAACTAAAAGACATCACACAAAAAGAAAAGGGGGGGGCAGGAGGGAAAAAGCAAACTTGGGCACTAGTTTTTCATTAGAAGGTATGACCGCTGTTCTTTCTGGGGGCAGGAAAGGTGACAAGCTCCCCAAAACTGTTCCTTCTCTGGCCAACATACAATCCCCCTCTTTTGTGATGTTCTTCCTGCGACACAGAGGAAGCAGCTCTCCCAGTGCTTAAAAGGAAACACTAGAAACTCCCCAGTACCAGAGATCAAACCCATTATTGTCGTGTGCCTTCAGGTCATTTCTTATGGTAACCCTAAAGTTAACCTATCATAGGAGTTTATCAGATGGGAGAAATCCCGTGCAGAAACAGGATTTAAAAGGTGGGGGAAACCTGCAAAAGTGGGCAGATTTTCACACACATTGCTGTTAAAATGGAATTAACCCGAATGAAAAGTAGTCAAAAACTGCTTTCTTTTTACTTTTGGGATTTTCTGAATGTAAAAAGAATAGGTTTCTGACTACTTTCCGTTCAGGTTAACCCCATTTTAACAGCAACGTCATTTGAAAATCTGCCCGCTTTTGCGTTTGTTTTTTTCAATTTAACACTCCATTTCTGCATGGGATTTCCCCCGTGTGATAAACTCCATAGTGTTTTCTTGGCAAGATTTGTTCAGAAGAGGTTTGCACTTCCCTTCCCCTGTGGCTGAGAGTATGTGACCCGCCGAGGGTCGCCCAGTGGGTTTCATGGCCAAGCTGGACATTGAACCCTGGTCTAGGCATCCTTTTAACCTTGGTAAAGCATCTCCTTGTGCCCTCTCCCTCTGATAGGTCTATTGTGAAACTGGGTCACAACAGAGGTAGATAAAGGTAAAAGTATTCCCCATGGACAAGGTCTGACCATAGGGGGTGGTGCTCATCTCCGTTACTAAG